ACAGGAAAGGCACTGGTTTTAATGCTCAGCATTGCAGTGGTACAGGACACGCCCAGCATAGGAAAGGCACTGGCTGTGATGCTCAGCAGTTAGGAAAACTCCGAGTTCTAGGCTAGCCTGGGGCACATAAAAAGCTCATGTTTTTGTTGTTGTTTAGGAAGAGAGGAAAAGAAACTGTCTCAGAAAGTGAAGGATTCTAGAGGACCCAACATTCAGTAACAGTCCTTCTCTTATTTAAATACATGAGGTTGTAAGGGAACTGCTCCTGTTCTGCTTCTGCCAACAGTTGGGTTGGTGAGGTACATAAGCTCCCCAAGAAGTTTGCCTTGTCTCTATAAAACCATATAATAAGAAAGAAAGGGATACAGGGGTGACTCAGCAATTAAGAGCCCTTGTTGCTCTTGCAGAGGACCCAGGTTTGGTTCCAGAGGACCCAGGTTTGGTTCCTTGCACCTCCATGGAGCTCACAGCTGTGAGTAAGTCCTGTTCTAGGGATCCAACACCTTCTTCTGACACCTGGGGACACCACATGCACATGACACACATACATACATGCAGACAAAACACATATGTATGTAAAATAGTCATATCTAATAATGCATATACGACATCCATAGTTCTTCAAATCTTTTTAAGGATTTAATTGTGTGTCTCTGTGTGTGTGTAGACGAGTGCAGGTGCCTATGGAGGCCAGGAGAGGCTGTTAGAAGTCTCTTAGAGCTGGAGTACTGGCAGCTGTGAGCTGCCTGACACAGATACTGGAGACCAGACTTAGGTCCTAAGCAAGAGCAGTATATGCTCTTAGCTGCCGAGCCATCCCTCCAGCCCTCACCCTCTTTTTCCCAGGTTGTTCATCTATATAATCAACAAAAATAATCGCAAGGTCAACTGCAGGCATAGTTCAATGGTAAGAGTGCTTGCCTCCCTGTGCAAGGGCCTGGATTTGAGCGACGGCACTGCAGATTCAAAGAGGGCTTAAATCCCAAATTGAAAATTAATTTGACCCCCAACAAATGATGAAGTGTACTTGGCCTCTATGCTTCCATGGTCTACACATGCAGAGTCAACAAACTGTGATCAAAATATCAGAAGAAGCTGGGCATGGTGTGTAACATCTGTCATCACTGCACTCAGGATGCTGAGGCAGGAGGATTTCAAGTTTAAGGATTCAATCACGGTCAGAGAGAGGGGGTGAAACCCAAAAGGAGCAGGAAGAACGGAAGTAGAGAGCCATGACAGGAGAATATAGCAGCTATCCATGTGAGAGATGTCAGTTCAGAACAGAACAGAAGCTGGCTGATTCTGTGCTTTAAAGGCTGAACAAACCGCTCCGCGATGGAAGAGCAAGAGCTCCTGAGTTCACGTCCCCATTTTATACGCAACCCATTCCGTTTATCATCAACAGTGGGAGAGTGATCCTCCTAAACTGAGAATCAGACGTGACACTCTCCCACTCGTGGATTTTACTCAGTTTGAAAGTTGCTTGCATTTGAGGTGGTGATCACGCAACCTCGTGAACACGTTCAGTAGGCGGTCAGAGATGAAAGTCGGGTTCAGGGATGCAATCTAGTCACTTGTGGTGGCGTGCACCTTCAGCCACAGCCCTCAGAAGGCAGAGGCCGGTGGATCTCTGCAAATTCAAAGCCTGCCTGGTCTATGCAGTGAGACCCCTTATGAAAATAAAAAGGTTTAGATGCACAGTCTGGAAGCTGTGGGCACACACATACACATACTCATGGTGTTTTAAGCTATGAGACAAGATGACATTCCCAAAGCAGCGAGCGTGGATGAAGGAGGAAGAGGGTCGAGACTACATCCTGTGGTATCCACTGTCAACAGGAACTTAACATTTGTTGATGCGTGGATGTTTAGAAGTAAATAGAATTAATCTGGCCTTTATCTTGTATACAGGGGAATAGCATGCTAGGAGGAGGGAATGTATGTGTAAGAGCACACATTAAAAATGTATACAGCACTACACACCTTTGATCCCAGCACTCAAGAGGCAGAGGCAGGTGGATCTCTTGTGATTTCTTTTACCGTTTGCTATATAATAAAACTCAGGGACGAATATAAGAATAACCCTGAGACAAACACGACGACCACAACACACACCATCACTGTCGGTGTCCTCCCACCCCCCCCCAGGCTCGAAAAGTTCCACTGTGCTGGAGGCCTTTCTCCCCACTGGGGAACTCTCTGTGAATCCCGCCTATTGGACCAATGACTGACTTCACTAACAAAATTCCCACAACAGATCTCCATGAGTTCGAAGCCAGCCTGGACTACAGAGTGCATTCCAGGACAGCTAGGGCTACACAGAAAAACCCTATCTCATGTATATATGGGTGGGGAGGTGGACCATAGTTAAGAGCATTGGTATGCTCTTCCAGTGGATCCAAATTCAGTTTCCAGCATCCAGGTCAGCACCTCCCAGTGCCTATAACTCTAGTACCAGAGGATCTGACTCCCTCTTCTGGGCTCTGTGGGCAGTGCCACATACCTGGCATACACTCACACAGATAAACACACATACACTTTAAAAAAAAACTTTTGAAAAGGACAAAAAGATTAAATAAAAAATTTTAAGGATGAGTGAGCTGACTGAAAGAATTTCCCACAGAGTGAAAGAAACCAGATGCGGTCAAATGAGCTAGTCAGAATCGGAGTATTGGGAATCCCACCCAAGGGCTGTGGATGGCACCTGCTGGCTTCCCGAAATGGGTTCAGGAAGAAAGTTGATGCCTATTCACTTTGAAAGCAGGAAGGTAATGAAAGGAAGAACACACCACCTCACCTAACACACAATCTTAAGAAGCCAAGAGCCATTCTTTTTTTCCTCTCGACCCTCTCTTAAGAACTGGCAATCCCCAATAACTGAGATGGGGAAAGAACGTGAATAATTAGGTGTTCCTCTCAGCATCCCCAATAATCTACCATTTTAGGAGTTTTTCCCTTCCTGTTGCAACCTTCCCTCCAATAAAACCTAGCAACTTATTTGCATATAATATAATTCATGTCTAAGTCATTTCCAATTTGTTACTTGGGCAGCAAATATAAAAAGTTTACAAACAAAGAGAAATGCAATTGATTAAAGATACATACACCTCGAATAAATAAGCCATTAAGATTAAATGAAGTTGCTGAACTCGACCATTCTTCTGCACAATATGAGAGTGATTCAGAAGCCTGGTAGCATGCTGTCACCACTTGGGTAGCTTGACAAAAAAAGACACTGGGTGACAGTCTCAAGACCCTCACATACTCAAAGTCTCAAAGGCGATATTGCCAGCCACTGCCACACATATGCCACGATTAAAGACCCTGGGTGTAAACAGTATCAAATGTTCACCCTCTCCTACATTCCCAATTCTCAAACATTCGGGTGCCACAGGCTGGCATCACGAACAACGGTTTCACGCTCTAGTCACAAAGAAGCTGCACGTCCGTGCACAAGGGGGTAAAGAGAAAGGTACCAGATGTGGATTCACTCGCACCCTGTCACAGAGTGGACTCGCACATCAGGTGACAGTCTCGCCATACCGTAGCCAAAACTGTCCTTTTCCGAGGGCACCCAGAGTACCTGATGACCGGTGTTCGAGAGATGCGCGCTGGCCACTCCCAGGCCCACTCCTCACCAGCAGAACCAACTGCGGGAAGATTCCGTTTCTGCCCGGAAGCCTCTGGAATCTCCTCCAAACCCTCTGACCTTAGGTTGACGGAATCTAGCCTCAGGGGGAAAGGGCCGGGGAAGGAAGAGCCTCGGTTACCTGGGCTCCTGGAGGACACAAAGGGGCGACGGCCCAGCTCCCGCTGGGGCCATTGGGAAATGTAGTTCGGACCGAAAGTGCAGCAACACCAAGGTGTTTCGTTGCCCTGACAGGTTCAGTCCCAATGTCTCTATCACTGGCTTTCCATAGCCAAACCACATGTATGCAGACATTCATGCAAGCAGAACACCTATGCACATAAAATAAATTGAAGTATTTATTTATTTATTTTTACTTTGTATGTGTTTTTGCCTATATTTATGAAGGTTCACCAGGTGCCAAGAGAGGCCAGAAGAGGGCACTGGTCCCCAGAGTGCTCTTAATTGCTGAGCTATTTCTCTAGTCTTTCATAGATCTTTTTGCGGGATGAAGTCCAGGTCCTCAAGCATGCCAGGCAAACACTTTGCCACTCAGCCACGCCCTCAGTATCTTTTTGATCTGACTCTACACTTCATTTGAACACATAGCATTTTTCTTCAGGAAAAAATTCTTTCACAACTGGGATTTTGAGAACAAATACCAGATTCTCTGTGTCTTGTGTGTGTTTCTCCGAGTGTAACTCTGGAAAACATGATGTGCTAGGTTAGGCATACATTTCTGTGATCACTGTGTGATTGTGTTCACAGTATAATATTTGTGATGTTTAAATGTGCTGTGATGGGAACAGATCTGTGGGGAGTGCAACAGGACGAGTGTGGCAGATGCTGAAGGTTTAAAATGATGGATATACTTTTGTGTATGAAATTCTCCTCTGTAGTGTCTGGTTAGAAGCCAGAAAACAAAAGCAAGAATAAAATAAAATAAGGAGTAGGGCTGGGCATTGTGGTATACACCTTTAATATCAGTACCTGGGAAACAGAAGTAGGCTGATCTCTGTGAGCTTGAAGCCAGTCTGATCCACAAAGTCAGCAACGGCAAATTCAAGAAGCTTCTATTAGGCAAGGAAAAAGAAGTAAACTACTGCTTAGAATTCTATGCTCTATGTGAAGTAAAATAATGTTGCTTAAATACGGTGATAAAGGAAATATGTACACTATAATACCTAAAGCAAGGCCTGGAGAGATGACTTTGTAGTTAAGAGTACTTGCTGCTCTTGAAGAGGGCCTGTCTTCAATTCCCAGCAATCACCTGGAGTGACTTACAACCACTTGTCACTCCAGTGCCAGGGAATCCCATGCCCTCTTTTGGTCCCTCCATGAACTGCATGCACCTGGTGTAGAGGTACCTGGAGGCAAAATACTTACACAGAAAATAGAAATAAATAATCCTGGCCTAACAGTGCTGGCACAGGCCTTTAATCCCTGCACTCGGGAACTGGAGGTAGGAGGATCTCTGGGAGTTTGAGGCTGTCCTGGTCTACAGAGCAAATTCCAGGAGAGCTAGGGTTACAAAGAGGAACCCTGTCTCAAAAACCCAGAAGGGGTAGGGCTTAAAACAAAACAAAACAGAACAGAACAAAAACTTGTGCATCAAAGGGTATTATCAATAAGTGAAATGTGGTGGAATATTATTTTAACTGGGCCGAGATGTGTCACATTTGTTTATGTTTTGGAATATTATGTTAACTATGAGAAAGTGTTTTACTTTTATTTCTGCTGCATTGAACAATATCAGGTTGTGTTACATTTGTTTATACTGCATTTGGTAAATTTTGAAAACATGTTGCTGTTTCTACCTTGCCTTCGTAAGGCACCTGATTATTGGTCTAATAAAAAGCTGAATGGCCAATAGCTCGGCAGAAAAGGGATAGGTGGGGCTGGTGGGCAGAAAGATTAAGTAGGCGGAGAAATATAGGCTCGAGAAAAGAGGAAAGAATGAGGGAGAAAGAGAGGGACTGGCTCGGGGTCAGAAGTCAGGCAGCCATCAGCCAGACCTGGAGACAGTAGGAAAGTAAGATACAGAAAGAATAAAAGGTAAAAAGCCACGAGGCAAAAGGTAGACAAACAGAAACTAGTTAAGTTAAAAGAGATAGCCAGAAACGAGCCTAAGGTAGGCCAAGCATTTATAATGAATAATAAGTCTCCGTGTCATAATTGGGAGCAGGTTGGAAGACTAAAAGTAAAAGCCTGCTACAATGAAAAGACAACTTACTCCTACAGCATGGGTGAGTGTTGGAGAAGCATGTATCTTATAAGTTTTTTTTTTTTTCAAGGTGCTTGTTTTGTGGTACTGGAGATGGATCCCTGGGTCTTCTGTACACAAGAGAAAGTCTCTACCACCTGAACCCCCCCGTTAAGGGTTTAAATAAATATATGAAACATATGAAAAACTCCAGCCCATAAGACAATTACAACCAACTTAAAGAGAGCGGTGAATTTGAATGGACGTTTCTCCAAAGAAGATGTGCAATGTTCAGCAAGCAGCTGGAAAGTTGCCGGATCTGATTTGTAATTAGATTACTAGAGAATAAAAGGTGTGGAGAGCAAGGGGAAAGATGGCGAGAGGATGGTCAAGTTGTTAGGAGGGTCAAGTTGCAAATGCAGTCTTGAAAGGCACCGAACCTCAGTCCCTGCTCACAAGCCCCACCCAGCTCATAAGTCTCCTTTTTCCCCTTTCCGTTTAACTCTGAAAATCTTTCCCGCGACGCTTCTTCCCAAGGGGTCCGCCTCTTTCTTGCTCCGCAGGGAGCCTAGCATTGACCTTGGCAAGTCAAAAGGCACCACAGCGACCTGTTATGGAAGAGCCACAAGTTTCTCTTGCCAGAGATAAGGAGAATGACTCCCTTTCTAGCAAGCAAGAACTTTCTTCAAACCGCTGACGGAATGGGGGCTTTTGTCTAAATGCCAGATCTTGAGAGAAAGACTTTCTTGGGCGACCGGACACGTCGGGACTAAATAAACTCAACCGTGCTTCCTGTTTAGACCAGACTTCTTAGCCCTGAGATTCTCAGCAGGAGCAGGGACTGCTTTTCCTTTGGGTGAGCGACAAGTCTCGGGCCGCGAAGGCTTCTGGGAAATGTAGTCCGGATCAAGAAAGCGGCGGACCCGTTCGGATTCTTCTCAGTTGCAAGCAGCAGACCCGGGCTGTGAAAACCAGGCGGGAGAGAAGCCGCTGCTCCAAAGACGCTGGGCCGTCTTGGCCGGTGCAGGCCTAAGCCGATCCCCCTGCTGGAGCGGGGCGCCCTCACCTGGGCACTCTCCGGGTTCGCTCACCGGAGGCCAGACCCACCCGGCGAGCCGCGGGGCCCTCTGGGAAGTGCTACCCAGCTTCTAACGGACCCAGGTTTGTGGCGCTTCTGCCCCGCCAGCCTTCTCCGCGCCGGCTCATGGTCCCCCCCGGGCTGTGAGCATTGGGCGGCAGTGGGGTGTGGGATCGCAGCCGGTGACCCGGTTCGGCGGTGATTCCCGGGAAGCCGCGAGCCCGGAGGCCCGCACTCTTTGTGCTGGGTGGGAGCGGGGCCCTGTGGAGCCGGGTGTGGATGGAGGAGGCGATGCCGGCCGTTTGCAGCGGCCATGACCTGGGCGTGATGTGGCTGCAATTTGCTCGTTATCCTTTATGTGCTTTTACGAACGTGGGTGCACATGTGCATGACTGAGATAACGAATGAAAGAGAAACTCTTTGGGTTCAAGTTAGGTAGGTAGGATTGTGTGTGTAAATGTGTGGAGACCGTGTTTGAACGAGTGTTGCGTTTAGTCGTTTATAATAATGGAAAATGCGTTTCTATACGAAATAGTAGTAGCCCCAACGCTTGAGTATTTAACGATTTATTTTCGTGTATTGACAAACTGTCTGTGTCATTCGCCTTGCTGCCCCCACTCCATTCCCCAAATATCAAGATACAGAAAAGCCCAAAGAACAAAAATTATTCAGTTCTACTAGTCACATAGGTCCTGTTAAATTGACTTTTTTACACTCTGTGAATATAAACACTTGCATTATGTGCTCATATAACGAGCATAGTGGCTTAAACGAGCAAGCGTATATATACAGTTATGTAGCCCACGTTTCATTTTATAATATGTTGTTAACCTAACGACATCAACAATTTCAAATGGCTACCGTTTCCATTTTCCTTGGTATACATATATACATTTGTCTCCCGAATAATTTGTGTCTTTTCAACCTCTTGAAGTAATAAACCAAGTTCATGAAGAACTGTTTGGCAATGCTCTAATATACCTTCTTCCTCCCTCCCGTGCTCTGGTAGGCTTTTCAAAGTGGAAGTGATATGGTAATAATCCTCATTAAAACCTCCCTCAATCTAAACTTTTTTTCCCAATGCAAGGTCCTAACATCCTACAATATTACTAAAATAATAGATGCATCTCTATCATTTCAGTAATATTGGAGTAGAGATACACCTTGGATAGCAGTAAATGCCATAAGTGATGGTAATCTTTATTAACTTTGTAGTTATAAAATACAATTTAGGCTGGGCAGTGGTGGTGCACACTTTTAATCCCAGCACTCAGGCAGATCTCTGTGAGTTCGAGGCCAGCCTGGTCTACAAAAGCTAGTTCCAGGACAGGCACCAAAGCTACACAGAGAAACCCTGTCTCGAAAAACAAACAAAAATTAAATTGAGTTTGCAGTACTTGTTACCAAAATCAAGCATTTTGTGATTTGTTCTTCTAAAGTAGTGTTCTATTTTCAGCTTTCATTTCCAGAGTTCTTCCTCTGCTGAAAATCCTTTAGAAACTGAAAATTGATTGAATGTTGGACACCTATCAGTCACAGTTTTTGGTGCTTGGGATCTAGTAGTGAAGAGAAGAACCAGCCCCTCAGCTACTATGATACTCACATCACTGTGGACCAGATAATAAACAAAGTAAGTGAACCAAATATATCAGATGCTGAAAAACACTAAGAAAAAAGTCAAAATAGGAGGATCTTTAGAATCAGGTATTTAGTTTTTGATGACGTGGCCAGGGAGGGGATGTTGGAAAGGAGCGGTGAGGAGAGGATGGGAGGAAAGGGGGTGGGGACCCATATAGCCGAGGAAGGATTGCTGCATACAGGGCAATTGCAGCTTACAAGTTTTGAGGTTTTCCTGCCTGCTTGGATGAAATGCTGGTGCTGGCTGAAACAGCAAACAAGGAGGAAGACGAGTTCCAGATGTGAGAAGAAAGCTCGGTGGAGGGGAGGAGCGCAGAGGAAATTGGGCTTTGCGGTCCATTGTAATGATTTTGGCTTTTACACTGAGTATTTTGAACATGGGAATAAATTTATCTGCTTAATGGCAGCTTTGGCTGCCCTGGTGGCTGGACAGCTGGAAAAGGAATGCAGAAAGGGTGGGGACAGGGTGAGGGAAGGAGCAGAAAGACCAGTTAGGAAACTTAAATGGTCCGAGGGAAAGACATTGGAGGTTGAGAGCAGCAGTAGTGAGAATGAGTGTTGCCTCTCACTCCAGTGCTCAAGCAGAATTGATGCAGAATGTAAGTATAGCAAGGTAGCACAATGTTTATTTGGTTAAGAATTTGATTTTTTAAGAATAGACTACCCTTGAACTCATAAAGACCCACTTGCCTTTGACTCCCAAGCATTGTGATTAAAGGTGTATACCACTATACCAAGCAAAAGTGTATCCCATTTTAACCTCACTTTTGCAAAACTTTTTCAAAGTCACAACAGCCATTTTATATTTGGCAAAGACTTTCTCAAACAATAAATATATATTTAAAGTAAAAAGAAAAGAATTTGATTTTGTTGTTGTTGTTTTGTTTTTTTTTTTTTTTGGAGACAAGGTTTCTCTGTGTAGCCTTAACTGTCCTGGAACTCAATCTGTAGGCCAGCTGGCCTCCAGCTCAGAGATCCACCTGCCTCTGAGTGCTGGGATTAAAGGTGTGCACTACCACTGCCTGGCTAAGAATTCAGTTCTTGAGAATGGAGGTGAGTCTTATTCAAGGAGCTAATGAGATTCTAGTTTGGGATATAGTGTGTAAAGTGTGATATGTCACGTTGGCAGCTGCATATACAAGTGTGACGTTCAAGAGACCTAGAATGGGGGAATTATCAGCATATAAATGATTCTGAAAATCCGAAGGATAAATGAGATCACTTAGAGTGGATGGAAAAAGACAGAGGTGAAGGACTGATTTGGGCGTTACTCTAATGACTGACATTTGAGGGTTAGTGGAGAATTAGCAACAATGTCTGACAGAGACTAGCTAGAAAAGTCAGAGGAAAAGAGGTGGATGTGTTAGAAATGAGTCTATCTTAATAAAAACTGTCACACACTACAGATGACAAAGGTACTGAAGACAAGAAAGAGTCATTGAATTTAGCAACATAAAATTCATTGGTGGCTCTGAAAAAAATTCAGTGGATTATGAAACCAAGGAGAACTAGAGAAGAAAAACTGGAGAAATCAAATCCTGGTAGTTCTTAAGAAATCTACCTCCCCACATCCCCCAAAAATCAAAATATGCTGGATGAAAGAACTATTAAAAACCGAGGGAGGAATGTGTATGTGCTTAATGAGACAGAGCTGATAGGATCAGATGGCAGAGTATGCCTTAGCGTGGAGCATGCTCACACTAGTAGGAGGAGAGAAGGAACTGGACAGGAGACAGGCCAGCAAGCAGATGGTTGACAAGAGCCTGCAAGCTTTATCTCCACACTCCTTCAACTTTATAGTCAGCTGAAGAAGACCCGGCCTGACCCAGCTGAGAGACTGGAAAGAGGTGTTAGGGGTTTGAAGAGAAAGCAAAGCAAAGCAAAACAAACCCAGATCAGCACTGAAGCCAGCAGGAGTGATGTGAAAGAGAACAAGGAGGCCTTGCGTTAAAGTGAGTTTATTGTATTTTCTGAGTGTGGACTTTTAAAAAAGCTTTATTTTTATTTTATGTGTGTGGGTGTTTTATCTGCATGTATGCCTGTGTATCACGTATGTGCAGTGTCCTTGGGTCCTCTGGACCTTGAGAGCTGTGTATGTGCTGGGAATCCAACCTGCAAGAGCAACAAGTGCCCTCCCTCTGAGCCATAACACCACCACCCCCCCCAGCCCCGACTGACAGTTTTGAACTGAGCATATGAAATGCGAGACTAGGAAGGCACTGAAAGACATTGAGAGATTGGTGGAGCCACGGAGGGGTTGGGATGGGCAACAGGAAGGAGATTTTTCAGTTTTGGTTGTCAGACATCTCATAAACAGAACAGAAGGAGCTGGACGTGATGGAGGCAGGGAGATGACCCGTTTTAGGTTAACCTGGGCTACATGGCAAGACTCAACAAAACAAGTAATGATTGGCCTGTCATTGTCACTATTATTTCTTCTGCCTTTACAAAATGAAATATTTTCCTAAAGAAAGAAAGCTCCCTCATCAATTATTTAGAGACAGTTTGTACAAGAGGAAGGGAATAAATGGACTATACCCTCCTCCTTTATAGGATTTAGGGACATTGAATTGTTTCCAAAGTGTGTCTGTTTGTCTGTCTGTCTTTCTCTCTTTCAAGACAAGGTTTTACTGTGTAACAGGTTACCCTGGAACTTGCTCTGTAGTCCAGGCTGGCCTCAAACTCGCAGAGATTCTTCTGCCTCTGCTTCCTGAGTGCTAGGATTAAAGGTGTGCCACAATCACCAGGCTTCCCCACCCCAAATTTATTTTTGGTTGCCTACTTGCCTTTGTGCTCACCAGGTGTATGCAAGTGCCTTTAGGGGCCATAGTCCAATTCCTTGGAACTAGTTATTTACAGGTGGTTGTAGTTACCTAGTCTGGGTGCTGGGAACTGACCCTGGGTCCTTTGCAAGGGCAGCCTGTGTGCTTAACCACTGAGCCATTTTCTGGCTAGCCTCTGGCATCTCTTCCTAAGCTTTTGTTTGTATTACCATTATATGCTCATTGATTTCAACATACTAGTGTTTCAAGTTTTTGCAATTACTTTCTATCTGAAATTCAAATTCCTTATCTTCAGCAACCCCTCAAAATGGCTTCTGAGTCCCCGATAGATTTTTATAATTTCCTGTATTTGTGTTATCGCCAGCTATTTACTTTGAACATTTCTTGCTCTAGGCATGAAGTCAGTATTTTATGCATGGTGTCCCAATTTCTCTTAATGAGAAATAGCATTTAAGACTGTAATTAGGGCTGGAATGATGGCTCAGGGAGAAATAGCATTTAAAACCATAATTAGGGCTGGAGAGGTTACTCAGTGGTCTATTCTTGCAGAGGACCTGAATTTGATTCCCAGCACCCACATCAGGCAGCTCACCACTGTTTGTAGCTGTAGCTACAAGGGATCCTACACTCTGTGACCTCCTTCAGTGTGCATGCACAGCCTAAGTAATAATTAAAAAGAAAATAACTTTTAATCATATTTTTAAAAAACCATTGTTTTTATGATTTAGACAAAACACTGTGGTTTCCAGAGGGGTGCAGTGGCAGAAATGCTGCAGGTCCCCGAGTGGTGGCAGTGGGCAGCCGGCCACGAAGGCAGCTGGTCCCAGGCAGGGAGCTGCATGGCGGGTGAGAGACAAGAGACCTCTTAGACATGCCATACAGAGAAAGTGGGTATTTATTTAGTGGGTTATGGGGAGAAGGGAGAAGAGCAGAGAGTGAAGCAGAGAGGGGGGAAGGGAGAGAGGTTGGTGGCGGGGAGGAAGTGGGCACGGCTTGTCTCTTAAAGGGACAGGACAGACCATTACATTTATTATAATGCTTATTACTATTGGTATGGTCATTATTTCTAAGTGTGTGTGTGTGTGTGTGTGTGTGTGTGTATGTGTGTGTGTGTGTGTCTGTGTGTGTGTCTGTGTACAACACTAGGATTTAAAAAAAAGTTTAAGATATCTATATGTATATTTACCCACTTACCACCTAAAGTATATAATTTATTTTTAAAATACAAGCTAGGTGTGGTATTGCAGTCCTTTGATTCCAGCACTAGGGAGGCAGAAGCAGGTGTATTTTTGTGAGTTCCAGTCTAGCCTGGTCTGCATAGTAAGTTTCAGGCCATGTTTTTTGAGATAGGGTTTCCCTGTGAATTTCTCTGGCTGACCTGAAACTCACTATGTAGTCCAGGCTGGCTTAGAACTCAGAGATTCTCCTCCCTCTGCCTCCTGGGTGCTGGGATTAAAGGCATATGCCACCACTGCCTAGCCTAAATTTTTTTTAAATAAAATATATACAAAGGTTGTGTTTCACTATAATACAATTTTAAGCCATTTTTTGTTCCTGCTAGAAGAAACATACATGCCATGTGCAAGTGTTACAGCTCTGGAGGGAAAGATACTTTGACTGTCAGAAGTCGGGCAGTACCTCCAGATGTGAAGGGAAGGGATCCTGGTTACCTGCAGCAGGGAGGAGGAAGGCATCCTGACTGTCAGAAGTCGGGCAGTACCTCCTGCTGGGAAGGGAAGGGATCCTGGTTACCTGCAGCAGGGAGGAGGAAGGTATCTTGACTTCCTGACAAGCTGTGTTCTGGAGAGGGATGGTCTCTCTGCAGCATCTCTGTGGCGATCCCGCTTACTCTCTACCAGAGTCTGGAGCAGTTGAGCTCTGCTCCACTCTCCTAAAGGGGTTTCCCAGCAGAGGTGTCCATTGCTTCTCTGTTCCACTCTACAAAGAAAGTTTCCTAGCAGAGATTCTGCTCTACTCTGGTTAAAGAAGGTCTTTACTCAAAACTCTTTCAAGAGATTTATTTGGGAAAAAGGAATTCAGGAGAGCGACTGACTCTACCAGGGTAGAGAAGGGCAGCTGCCAACTGATTATAGGGCTTCTTAGGAGTGGAGATTTTTTTTCAAGGGAGAAGATTTCAGGGTGGGAATTGGTCAGATTTTAATCTCCTGGATCTTGGACAAGCTCAGGCGGGCTAGATTTTGTGTTCGGAGATTGGTTGATTTCATCCTCGGTTGGTCAGGGCAAACTTGACTCTGGTTATAGCACCAAAGTATGTTTTTTTTTCACTAGCCCTTTTGAGCCATTTGGCTCAGGAGTAGGGTGAGTTTCCTTCACTGGCTCTGGTTTCCGGACTGAAGTTTGTTTCTTTGACTCTGGTTTCAGGATTGGGTGTGTTTCTTTGGTTCTGGTTTCAGGGTTAGGGTCTGTTTCTTTCTCTGGCTTTAATTTCAGGAACAGGGTATGTTTCTTTCATTGGTTCTGGTTTTATGTTGTGATCCCAGACACAACATGAGGAATGGGAATAAAGACACAACTCACATGACTTTATCGGGAGGGAGTTTTCAGGGATCCCTCATGGAATCCTGAGTTCACATCCTGAAAATTTACCCACATTTATTCTCCAAACAGCTTTTATACCAAAATATAAACTGAGGGGGAAATTCATTAGCATTCTGTTTCCTAGGTAACCAGGAGAATGACTGTGGTCACGTCCACACCTTTCTCTGCCCATTTTGTCACATCTTCCTATCTATGCCTGCTCTGTCACATAGACTAAATTAACACCTCTTTCCCAGGCAACCTCCAAATTACAAGGAGAGAGCAGCCTGACATTGCCAGATCCTGACCCTTTGTTTAGGATGGCGTGACAGGTGCAAACTGTGGCCTGAAAGTCTGGCCGCCATACAATGTAAAAATATGGGCCTGTATACTATGACCCTACAATCCACTCTGTCTTATTAATTTTAATAAAAACTGTGCTTCTGTAACAGGACAGTGATCACATCTGCCTTAGGCAAAGACTCCTTCACTTACCAAGACTAACCCATCAAGGGAAACAGGCATTCCATTCATGCGAGCTCCTGTCTTAGGCACCTGGGGAGATGCTTCAAAACCTTGACTGCCGACCTCTGTGAACAAAGGAGATTAGGGAGAGAGATACCTGTGGGCTCTGTGTCTCAGAGCCATACTTTCTAGTCAGGAGAGATCATAATGTTTTATGAACAATCATGCTCCTAAAGGCTGTAGTCTCCTAATTAAAGGAGAGGGGGATGGCCTGAGTTGAAAATGTTTCTTCAGCTGCTCTAGAGCACCTCTTAAATTTCTTTACATTGTATCAAAATCTAAAATCTTAACATATTCATTAAACCCAAACATTTACAGGGCATGTCAAACTTTTCTCAACATCTTGTAAGCAATTACAAACATTATCAGGTCAATACCGTAATTCTAGAATGGGAATTAACAATAAATCCACAATTTAACATATCACAATCTTCTTAAATCCATATTAATCAAAAGACAAGAAAAGCTTTTCTGATGGGTGAGAACAATGACATTGCTGCTATCAGATACCAGTTCCAGTCTCTGAGCAGCAGTTAAACCCTCAGGCTGCCCCCTCTTGAGTGAAGTGCGGCTTCAGTCATTAAGGAATTATTTTGAGTCTTTCTTTCCCTGAGGGGAGAGCTTAGGTCTTAGTTCTTAGGTCCAATATTTTAATCAAAACGAGTTTTGTGTCCCAAAGACTAAGCAGTCAAATATTCAGTCTACATTTCAACTCCAAAACAAACAGGATTCAGGCTGAAGAAAATTGCAGTCATCACTGTCAGTCATCTCAGTAGGGCCCGAATGTCTGGAAGCAGCTCAGCATCCTTCCCCCAGTGCAGCATGGCTCCCTGCAGTGCAGAGTGGAAGCAGCAGGTCCCGCAGACCAGGCACTCCTCTCTGTGGGGGTGGGGAAGGCTGGACCATGGATTCCTCTCCAACTCCTCTGTGGGGGCATAATCAGCTATGATGTCATCGGGTCTGCCACTCCTTTACTGTATATGCAGCTTTATTTCTTTCTGTGAAAAAGCACAAACACACCCTCGACCCCCAAATTAATACAGGGTCAGATCTTTTTATAATTCATTGCAAGGTGTCGCCATGCCAGCTCTGTCTGCAGCGTTTAT